GTTTAATATTTGAATATGCTCAGACCTTCTCGCTATATACTGATTGATAGGAGCGCGTGGGTTTGGGTGCAAGGTTCTTCTATCTTGGTGGAAAAACCGCCCTCGTCCCCCCCAAAATACTATTAAAAAATAAAAATATTGAGTAAATATTAAAAAAAAACCCCGCACTCCAGTGAGAGTGTGATGCTAACCAAGTATTTTTTTTATTTGGCCTTACTTAATAGATACAACAGTACAACTTATGGGTATTTTACACCTGATTATTGCGTTTGTACACGTGCAAGGGTATAGTAGCAACCAAGCCGTATCTACTCTTTAATACAATACTTACAACACATAACGGCATAGATCACAGCAATGAACTGGGATGTTATTTAACTGTAATACAATACTACAATGCAATATGGCTGTCAGCCGGGCCTGTCTGTAGTATACTATAGCATACTGTCTATTACAATTTACAATACATCACAGCTACCAGCCAGCAATATACTGTAGTATACTACAGATAGGTCCGGCCGATAGCCGTATTGCATTGTAGTATTGCATAACCCCGGTTGGTTGTCAGGATCTATGCCGTCATGTATTGTAAGTATTGTATTAAAGAGTACATACGGCTCGGCTGCTACTGTCGCAATCATACAACTTGCAGGTTATATGTAATAAATTAACATATATTGTGTGTAAGGTGTGGTGGCATGCGGGAATAACACACAGAGTAAATGCGCATGAGGTTGACACGAATGTTGTGAGTTCGAATCTCAGAGTGAGCGTGAATAATTCTCATTTTTTCTCTCTGCCGTTATCGTTTTTTTCTCATTTATTTACCTGTCGCATTAAGCTAGCTGTATGCATTGGGAAGATGAATTTAGATGCAGTTGTACGATTTTGGGAAAATTTACTGTAATTTTGGTGGTTTTCAGCAGAACACCGTTTTCTGCTTATGAAAACATTCTAGATCAGAGACAAAATTTCCGGCTGTCAGCCGGTGTCAAACACGCTAATCGAGTGCATTTACTAAATTTAATTAGCCATTTCCCAAACGAGCAGAGGGCTGGGTCTAGTCGCTTGTTTGGAGGGACACAACCTCATACCCAATGCTTCTGCACTATTGCCCTCAGAAGCCCTGGGGGAATCCAGCCCACAACGTGATTTGATTGGTCAATGCGAATACAATGAAAGTACCGAAGTTACTCATTATCATTAATCGGGCGATATTTTGGCAACATGACTGCTATCACAAGGAGTGTATATATGAAAACTACGAAAGTAGATGCGGGTTTTTGCATGAAAATACCTTTTAAACCAAATTCTTGGCTGGTTTGAAAAGAAAAAAGTATTTATTTGTTGATATTAAGCAAGAATGGCAAACAAAGTAAAAAACAATCACATAAATAAAGCGAACATTTTCTTATTCTATATATCTACAACTTCAACCAGGAAATTCAATGTAAATATAACATAATAAAGTTTTTAATACTGATAAATTTGATAAATTGGTGTGTTCTATATTATTGCATTTTGTATTGGAATAGGATACTGTACAATATACACAAATATTTAAATTTGAAAATTATCCCCAATTTGAGCATCTCGAGGATGCTGGGTGCACTGCCTCAGTGCCTCTGAGTTTGAGATGCAGTGAACATGCAAAATGTATGAGTCAACAAATAATTTAAATTTTATACCGTAGATTTGGTGTAAATAATTTTAGTAGCAATTACTGCTGCTAAGGTCTGTTATTTATTTACCATAGGCCAGGTTTGACATATATTAAATGACTAATCAAAATATTATTTCCTGGCCTGTGTGGCAGTTCTCCCATGAGCCTACTAACCAGGCTAATTATATTTGCCCAGCAACAAGGCAAAAAGTTTCAACTAGACTTCCAATGGCTTTCTTCATAAACATGTTCTCCAAATGATAGGAATTTTTGTTAATAACAGATTAATAACGAGAACTAAACCTGTGCTGACAGGGTTGCAGGATGATTTAGCAGAATGTGCAAGACCCTGTGATGTCATAGTGCAAACGTCAGAAACATTTGGTTGCAGCGCTCTTCAGATGACATAAATCCAAAAATCAGGTGGACCCCACCTGATTATCACAATTTTTCTTTCTCCAAAATTTCCCCTCCCCGTCTCCAAGGATTGAAAGGTTGATTAGATTTGAATAAATACACAGTAATAGTTGAGAAATGCTTTTGTGCCTCTTGATTAGAAATCTTGGCTACGTAACTGCATGCTCAATTACATTGCCAGCTAGTGGTATAATACAGTAAAGTAGCGCACAATGTTACTTAAATGGTCAGAACTGAATGATAAACAATATTTCATAATAAACTGAAATTAGTTCAGCACCACTGGTTTTTATAATACTGTTCATTCCAATACTAGACTGTCATTATTGTCATTAATTATAAAATTCAGTAGGCAAGTAACTATCTAACAGTTTAATTTTCAACATTCCACCCAAGCCATTATTCTCAAGATGTGCCAATAAGGTTTTCAAAATAAGTACAGAATTATAATATTATACCACATCACTGTTCATTTTATATTCTTCAAGTAGATGCAGCCTATAGGTCTATGTCGGAGGTCTATGTCTTGTGTATAAATTAAATCTGGCCACCAGTAATAACCAGTATTAGAGAGCAGAATTTAAAATATATATCTTGCAATATGCCAATATCTTGTTTAAAGGGATATGGCAATATATTTTTTTATTATTTCATTTTAAAGAACTTTTAAAATTATATGTTAATCTCCTTTACCGATTTTGCGTAACTTTATTATTTCTTGAAATATTTTGACTTAAAATAATTTGCTGTCCGCCATCTTGGATTAATTTTTATCTCATTATCGGTGATTTTAGTGACGTCATAAGCAGGGTTAGCCATATAAAACTACATCTAAATGACCAAATAACGTTAAGTCTTGTTTGAAAAGTCGTCAGACAGCTTTTTATTTCAAATAGTTACTGAAGTATATGATTTTGGGCTCATAATAACCAATTGCTCTATGGATAAAATTCTTGCGTGACCCTGCTTATGATGTCACATGCATATCCGCCAAAATCCAAGATGGCGGAAAGCTCGCTGATTTGTGATTTTTTCTGTTAAAATATCTCAAGAAATAATAAAGTTACGCAAAATCGGTAAAAGAGATTAACATACAATTTTAAAAGTTCTTTAAAATGAAATAATAAAAAAATATATTGCCGTATCCCTTTAATACCATCCAATCCAAGATAAATGGCAGCCAGCCATGTTACCAGCAGGCTTTCTAGTTCGTTGACTTTGAAGTAGTTACGGTAACTTACTCGAGTATAAATATTTATACTTTTTAATATTGAATAGCCCAAGTATGTTCCTGACCAGGTATTTGATGCTTTTGTCAAAGCATTCAACTGTAACTGCCCTCATCCAAATGTGTGATGAGTGGCTAGAAAATATGGACAATGGAAAGTTAAATGGGGTTGTGTTCATAGATATCAAAAAGGCATTTGACTCTATAAACCATCGCATTTTGTTAAATAAAATGAATGAGCAATTTGGAATTTTTGCTGTAGAATTAAAATGGTTTGAGTCATATTTAACAAATAGAGAACAGCAATGTAATGTTAATGGAGAATTATCTAGTAATAAAATTATCACCTGTGGAGTGCCCCAGGGATCTATACTGGGACCACTGCTATTCCTATTATATATTAATGATTTGCCCGATTGTTTGAAATCAACTAATCCATGCATGTACGCGGATGATACTCAAATCTTTTCATCTTCCTACGATGCAAATGAACTTGTTGTAAATTTAAATTCAGATCTTGCCCATGTCTGTAACTGGCTTAAAGAAAATAGGCTGCAGATGCATCCATCAAAATGTAAAATGATGTTTATTGGCTCCCCGTATAATCTTAATAATATAATGTGTGAGGAACCCGTTGTGGCTAATGCAAAACCCATATCACGAATTGCTACACAAATGTGCCTAGGAGTAAAACTAGATGAAACCCTTAATTGGGATAGTCACATTGAAATGATATGCAAGAAGGCGAGCGCTGCTATTGGCGCTATGAAACGTATAAAGCCCTTTGTTCCAATGCATACCTTAGAATCGATTTATAAAAGTCTTGTGCAGCCCTACTTTGATTATTGTTCCCCCCTTTGGGACACTTGTGGTAAGTTGCTAAGAGACAAGTTGCAAAGATTTCAGTCTCGTGCAGCAAGAGTCCTAACGGGTGCTAATTATGATACTCGCTCAGCTGATCTTCTCAACATGCTTTCTTGGGATACACTTGAAAATAGGCGGTCTGGTGCCAAGTCAGTATTAATGTATAAAATACTTAACGACCACACTGCGCCAGGTCTCCGGGCGGTCATTCGTGAGAAGAGAAATAGATCAAACTAATTATCATCTTCGAAACACAGCAACTGATCTAACAATTCCTAAACCGAAACGAGAATTTCTTAAAAAAAGTTTTAAATATAGCGGCGCTATGCTCTGGAATCAACTCCCAAACGAATCAAAATTGGCCGAGTCGCCTCATTCGTTTAAATCAATTGTTGGACAGCGACATGCTTCCTAATTATTTGTATATAGTAACGTGTACAGTATGTGTGTACTAATATTTAGTTTAAATTTTCCTTTTAATGATTTTTAAGATCTAAACACGCCCCCCATGGAAACCAGCCTAGAGTTGATGGGGCTAGCGTGTTCTTCTTTCTGTTAATTTTAAATAAAGTATTACCTACCTACCTACCTACCTATAGGGCTTATTGCCCGCCAAAGGGCTTATTTTACGCATAATTGTATCTCTAAATTGATCATTCTTGACTTTAAATTCTCAAATTCATTAATAATTCATAAGCAATTCAGCCAATGATAATCACCTATTTGATCACAAGATGCCATTTGGATATAACCCGGTTTTGTCAGCAAACAAAAACATTCTGTTACGTCTCGATTCATTTGACAAGCCATATAAACAACTCGAGCTCGTGTCTCACCGGGATATCCAAACACTGGAAAACAATGTATGAAAACTTTTCATACATTGTTTTCTCGTGTTTGGATATCCCGGTGAAACACTCGCTCTCGTTGTTCATATATTACGTCCAAAACCCACACGAGAAGCAGTTTAAGACGTCTTTAGAAGTCCAAATTTATCATAAATTGCAACAAATAATGCACACTCACTCCTTGCGTGAAATATGCCCAGTCAGCGTTTTTAGCTCTTTACTTATAAACCGGAACACCGATGTTCTTTGGTGTTCCGGTTTGGATGCCCCAGAGGGCTTCTGAGAGCAATAGCGCAGAAGCCCTGGTTACGAGGTTGGGAGGGACAAAAAATTAACAATATGCCGAATATAGCATCTAGGAAGTTTTCCTTCATTCCTAAAGTTATTTGTGCAGCCTGAAACGCAACAATTATAATAAGGCATCTTTTATATATATTTAGCTCGCTCACAATAACTTGTCACGTTGGGGATTTTTTACCGTGAAAACGCTCGCGCACGAAAGCGAGGCTCGGTTCGCCATATCGCCATATCAAAGACATGTAAAAACAAAATGGCGACTAGTACTCCTAGCGGCAATAATCTAAATTTGTTTGTTAAGGACGTGTTGTCAAACGGGAAAGCAAAATACCTAAAAGATTTAGGAATAGGAAGTCCAAAATATGTGGAATCTTCGAGAATGTTCGACAATCTGTTAAAGGTGGCCTTTGGATAGAAGTGATTGCCGAGGACGAATTCGAAAAATTGGAGCGTCACATTGTGGAAATACACCCGTTTGCCATTGTCAAATTACGAGAAGGCTGAGAAAGAAAGCCCTTGTCCAAACTGGGTGGAAAATAATTCTTGTAAGAAATTTACCGTGTAAAATTTTTGAACATATTGTGCGTATATGCACAGCAAATACTTGCTTTGCAACCAAAACAACTCAAACAACAGTGGAACACGTCGTTGAATTTACCGACATGAGGAAGGTTATGTATATATTTAAACAAGCTGCTGGTATCCACAAGGATTTAAGGAAAACCTTTGCCCACTTGGGGGTAGCTAAAGCCATTGTATCTCAAGAAAAGCCATTCAAACTTTCATACAACGTGAAAAATGAACAATTGAAAGTCCAATGCCACTATGGATTTTGGAACAGCCATGGGTACCACAGTTTTAGAACAATCCATTTTAAAATGAGAATTTTAAGAGAACAAAGACAACCTTTAAATTGTTTTTTAAGTTTTGTTATATTGCTGTATTCGCATATTTATGTGCAATATGTTTCAGCGATTTTTAGCTAGCTACTTATTAACATTTGCCACATGCAGGAAGGTTAGCTAATAAATGCACTAGCCAATACCCCAACCTCCCAATCCATACCTCACTTATCCCTGTATGTTCAAACAGATTGCACGGTATTTAGTCCAAGCGGTTAGGTCGTGAAATTGTTAAGATCGCGAGAAGCCTGATACAGGCACCATACCTTTCACAAAGAATCCTGCATGAGGGCTATAGGAATATTTTTAGATACTTATAATGAAGTTTGAAGAAAAATTGTGACACGGGAAGTGACGTATTAACTTTGTTGAACCATGGTGTTTTCCTGAAAATCTGTTGTTAATAGTTTTAACTTAAATGATTTTACCGAGACATTTTGGTCAATCTAAGACAGGTTCAAAAGGACAAATTATTATAACCCAGTAATGCCCACCCTACAGGTGGAACCCCCTGATTGCATATTTTATGGCACCCTTTCTGAAATTCATCTCCAGGCTAAATGGATGGACTTCCGAAGGGGTATAGTATCTGACCTATCAACTATTGTCCCCTCAGTGGCGTAGCCAGGCGCATGGGCCCTGATCCTCCCCCCCACACTGAGAAAAAGTGCCCCCCCTGCATGGTACATCTAACTTTTGTATGCTTTGGTTCACTGTTCTTGCCGGTCTTTATTGACCCCCCCCCCGCCCTTGACAGAAAATCTTGGCTACGCCTCTGGCTCTTTTCATTCTCATTTGATGATGGTGCTATGCTACATATCTCACAGAAAGCTGTTGCCCTTTTAGATTCCTAGCAAGCCCTAGGAATAAAACACCTATTATTTCATAGGTTTCTTATTTGATAGATTTTGTAATTGGTAGAAGAACATATTTTACATTCATCCATTAACACATCTTTAGAAAGGCCACAGTTACAAACATCTGTATTACATCGTAAAGGCACATACTTAAATTTGGTCTTAGAGTCAGTGTATGGGTTTTGTTCTCTCAGCCAATTAGCCAAACTAATGATACATATTCATGTCTGAAAATTTGCTGCCACTTGTTCTGATTTGTGGTATTTTTAGCATATTCCCCCAACCGTTGGTGTTTTGCCTCCCGGCCTTGCATGGTGTTTAAACCTAACCCTGTTTTGAACTTTTCAAACATTTTATTAGCATGCACTGGTACAATATAGCCCAATGTCCAAACACTTACTGTAATCCTACTAAGAAATAATGCAGCTGCATTAAAATAGTTAACACAACACCAGTGTTGTAACGAGTCACCTACAGGTCGAGTCACGAGTCGAGTCGAGTCACTCAAAGGTCCAGTCACGAGTCGAGTCAGTTCAGTTTCTGATCGAGTCGAGTCGAGTCAGTGGCTTCACTCGACTCGAGTCGAGTCGAGTCAGCAGTTTCACTCGAGTCAAGTCGAGTCATTGATTTATAAGTTCATATATCCAGAGTTTTTTGTACTTACAACTGGTAAATGTATTCAAAGTGTTACTAACAGCAAAGGAATTCAGTGAAACAGCATCTTGCGCTGGTTCAAACTGTTTTAAATTGTCAACAACAACATGAAAACACACAAGTTTATACGACTGTAAACGAATATAAAACTATGTAGAAAAGCCAAAAAGTTCATACATGTCACACATATCTTATACCAAACGACACAATCACCTGTTTTCTTGGCGTTATCCCGAGTTAGCATGCAAAACTAATGATATTTGCATTTCTAAACAAGAAAACACAACATATATTTGATATTTCGACGAGACTAAAAACTTTTTTGTGCGTGTTTTTCTGGAGATGCGCCTGCGAAAACATGTACGCGCATGTCAATTCATTGATCTTGCAGAGCTCGAAAAACTTTCGGCCGAGCGAGTGAGATACCACAATAAACCGGCGTAATTCAAAATTTTGCACGGTGACATGTGATGAAATTTTGCACAACGATAACTTCTTTTAAAACAAATAGAATATCAAAATTTTAAAAAAATCTGTAGATTGGAAAACTCTAAATCCGCAATTTTTTATTCTGGCTTTTCTAATCTACAGAATTTTTTATTTTCAGGGATAAGATTCAGCATTAAAAGTGAAAGCTATACAGCAGTTAAAAATGGGGTGTCACCGGCAATATTCGGAAAATAAATAATAAAAACCTGCTTAAAATAGCAAAAAATACCATATTTGGCGAGACTACTGTTACCATGGAAACAATATTATGTTCAAGAATATTGCAAATTTTTTCTACCAAATACTTAATTTATACTTGGGAAGGCTTAAAATTAATAGATGAAGTGATAAAATTTATAAATTGAAATTTTTACGCAATGAGGTATTTATACTACGGAACTGTATGGAGCCACCTTAACTTGAGTCAGGGAATTTGATCAAGTCCCCCCACATCATTGTCCCCAGGGCCTCTTGGCCGCGCGCGTCCTCCTTAGGCCCTGGAACATACGGAAGTACAACCCGAAGTGCAAGTAAACTTGCAGTAATTTCTAAAGCGCATGGTCTTGAATTGGGACATTTTTACCGTAACAATTTTCAAAGTGAAGTATTACGAAGAAACGAAGTATTTGCGTTGACATATGTTGATAGAATAATTTTTCCTAGCGAAAACTGCTCAACTTCTGCGAAATAGCAGTTCTCCGAAAAGCCAATCAGATCTCTTCCTTTAGTCGTCTAAACCAGAGCCTAATTTTCAACGAGTGACCGAGTGAAAATGGCTCTGGGGAC